AATTCGAGAGTATTTTTAGACACTTTTAAAAGTTTAAAGATATTCTTCAAATCGGTCAAATGTTAATATTCATTAAAAAAAATTAACCGTAAATATATTTTAAAATTTTTAAGAGTAATTTTTTTATTAATTTAACCTTATTTTTTAAATTAACTAATTCTTCAACTACTCTTAAATTTTTTTAAATATATATTAAAATAAAGCTACAAATCTTAATTCATATTAACCTTTATTTTTATATATAAAAAAAATAATCTATATATATATTATTGAGTTAGTTTTATTTAATAAGATTGCCAAATAATTGACGGGCATTCCTACAATTATATATTTATATTTAATAAATATTGGAGAAAATTCGGTCATATTATAATATATACGTAAAATAAAAGTTTTTAATAATTTGTTTGTTTTTTAAAAAAATTTATAATAGAAGCCCATTAGAACTTGGGCTGGGCTTTCGGAAAATCTTGAATTCTCAACAATTGGGCTTTGAATGGAAGTAGTCCAGATTCGACCAATTAAATTACAAATTTAATTTAATTTTTACCATCTCGAAAAAGTTTAAATTTTTATCATCAGATAAAACCTCATAAAGTATATTTTTTTACCGTTAGAAACTATTACATTGGTAATAGTAAAAATTATTTAGGAAGTATTATTAAAACATACAGATGACCGTTAAAATTATAAAAAATAAATTTTCTAAAAATTTATTTAAGATTGAATAAAAACTAAAAATACGAGTGGGATACAAATAACTAAGTCAATTTGACCTGACCTAATTAAATTATATATATATTAGTACACTTTGTTAGTTATCACATCTTGTCTCCCTCTCCAACCGAATTCATGTCGTGTCTCATTTTAGATTCCTATTCTTCAACCTTTTACCTTCCTCTTTGTTAGAAAATCTTATTATATCGAGGGTTTGAGAGGATACAAGTACAATTAGAAGGCCGATGTGTGGAGCACCAGTGAGATTTTCTACACGTTGGTTGGATTTTCGTCGTTCTATGGTGACTTTGATGTAGAGGTCTTTGAGGCCGTTTGGAGGGAAATATGAAATTTTCAACTAGGATTTTTAAGTTAGTTATTTGATAGCTAAGTATTTAACGAAAAAGATGATCTATCGAGATGTTTTTAGAAGATTCTCATGTAAATTTATTACAAATTTGAGTTTTCAGCGGTTTGTTTCGTTTTTTAACAATCAACCACCCAACTCGAAAACAAAGAGTTTGATTGGGTTGAGTTACAATCCAACCAATTCGAATTTTTTGATTAATCCAAAAAAAAATATTTCTTTAATTGGATCCAATCCGACCGAGGTACATCCCTAATTATAACTTTTTAACTAATTTTTGTTTTAATTATTAGACCCTCATATTTCAATTAAGCTTTAGTACTGTAAGGGAAGAAGAATGAATGAAGTGTTAAAAAGAATTAAGTATTAAGACTGTTTATTTGTATTAAGAAGGTTAAGAATTCTCTTAGAAAATTAACTATTTAAGTTAAAATTTATTGAAAAATTAATAATTTAATTGAAAATTTTATAAAGAAATCAATCAAAAACCTAATTTTATCGAATAAACATTTTTTAATCGGGTTCAAAAAATATGGTACAACCTAACTCAATCTAACCTCTACTTTTAAAAAGATTGAAAATATTTATGGTTCGAGCCTAATAAATATTCGATCAATTAAACTTTATAAGATTTTAGTAATTAAAATAATATATATTATATATAATTTTTAAAATAATTAAAAAAAAAAAAAAGAAGAAGAAGTCACAACCCATTTGAAAATAAAGATTTAATTGAGAAAATTTAAGTTTGAGGAGAATTATCCAAAAATGAACGTCGTCTTCCAGGCTGCCTCACACGCTTGAGTTTGGCGGCCATGGAAGAAATGGCAGAAATACAAAAGCCACAAGAACCACTCATTTGAAATCGTGGACGCAACCCAACTGAGAGCTCATTTTTAACTCCAACAAGAACAAGAAGAAGAAGAATAATTAAGCCCTCGATCACCATGGCACCCTGTTCTTCCTCCTCTGTTCTCCTCCATTGAAATCCATGCTCAATATTCTCTCTGGATAATCCTCCTCCGTCTCCATCAGCCATGTCTCTCGCTCATTGCTTGTTCTCAACTTCCAGAGCTATCACCAAATCTCAACCTCCTTCTCCCTCTGTTTTACCCAACAATCGCCCATCTTTCTTCTTACTCCAAACCCAGATTCTCAATAGACATTACTTCCAGAGCTACCACTGTTCTTCCACTTCCAGATTCAAGCACCCTTTTGCCGGAATATCCTCTTTTGCTGAAGCAGACGGCGGAGGAAAACAGGAAATCATTCAATTCAGCAAGAATCATGAGGTTGAGAAAGCTGCAGGGGAAGAGGAATTACCCGGGATGGCTCAGGCTTTTCACATTTCTTCAAAGACTGCCACTGCTATTATAACATGTATAGCATTTTCATCTCTCAGTTTCCCACTTTTCATGAAGTCTTTGGGGCAGGGTTTGGCTTTGAAAACCAAGATTCTGTCGTATGCCACTTTGTTGTTTGGGTTTTATATGGCTTGGAATATTGGAGCCAATGATGTGGCTAATGCCATGGGGACCTCCGTTGGCTCCGGCGCATTGACGCTCCGGCAGGCGGTGGTCACAGCGGCGGTTTTGGAATTCTCTGGGGCGTTACTTATGGGAACCCATGTCACCAGCACAATGCAAAATGGGATTCTTGTGGCTGGTGTGTTTCAGGGAAAGGATATGCTGCACTTTGTTGGGCTGCTTTCGTCTTTGGCTGCCGCTGGTTCTTGGCTGCAGGTACTAACATTTAGTCAAATTCATAGATAATTTCTTTTTCAGCCACAAATATGACTCTTAATAGCTCAAATAATAGCATTTCATAGTGAAAATTGAGAGAGGTATATTACAACTCTTAATTTGATTTTAGAGAATTTAAAAATAGTAAACTGACAGGTTTAAATTCTAACAAAATACTACCATTTAAGTCCGTTTTGTTAGGAGGAATCATGACTCTCTACAATGGTATGATATTGTCCACTTTGAGCATAAGCTCTCGTAGCTTCCCCAAAATGCCTTATATCAATAGAGATGTATTTGTTACTTATAAACCCATGATCATTCCTTAAATTAGCCAACATGGAACTCCCTCCCATCAATCTTCTTAGCCAACGTGGAACTCCCTCCCATCAATCTTCTACATGTTTGATTTTAAAATGCTATATCTTTGTCTCTGTGTTGTTATCCACTTTTTGACATATTTTGAAAACTAAAAAACGTTTTTAATTCAAATATTTTCTTAAGAAAGAAATTAGCAAGAGATAATTGTCAAAGTAAAAATAAAAGTAGCAAAAGAATCTCTAACTTTACCTGTTTATCTTTCAATATCTCTGCTAAGATTGCATCATATTATGGATGGCCCGTCTCGACCACGCATTGTATAGTGGGATCAATGGTTGGATTTGGTCTTGTCTATGGCGGAGTTGGAGCTGTCTTCTGGGGCTCATTGGCGAGAGTTGCTTCTTCATGGGTGATTTCTCCATTAATTGGAGCACTGGCCTCATTCCTTGTCTACAAGTGCATTCGTAGGGTGTGTTCCTTGAGTCCTTGCCTTGACTAAGCCATTGCATTCATAGGAACCTGAAAAATAATTAACTGTATGTTATTTTCAGTTTGTGTACAGTGCAAAGAACCCAGGACAGGCAGCTGCAGCAGCTGCACCGTTACTCGTATTCCTCGGCGTAACTGGAATATCATATATATCATTTCCATTGAGTAAGAATCTTAAATGGGTTGTAGCACAGGCTGTAGGCTTTGGAGTAGTAGGAGCATTCCTTGTCTACAAAATAATTCAGAGACAACTTGGCCATTTACTCAACAAAGCTGCTGCTTCGTCTTTGAAGAAGGCAGACGAGAGTACAACTGAGGAGAAAAACATTGGATTTCTAGATGAGATTGCAGGTCCAAAGGGAACTCAGTTGGAGATAGTTTATGGGGTATTTGGATATATGCAGGTTCTTTCTGCTTGTTTTATGTCCTTTGCCCATGGTGGAAATGATGTATCAAACGCAATTGGTCCCTTGGCTGCTGCGTTGTCAATACTTCATGGCAGTGTCGGTGGCGCCGAGATTGTCATTCCACTTGATGTTCTTGCTTGGGGAGGGTTTGGAATTGTAGCCGGGTTGATGATATGGGGCTATAGAGTGATAGCAACCATTGGGAAGAAGATTACAGAACTCACACCAACCAGAGGATTTGCAGCGGAATTTGCTGCTGCTTCTGTGGTTCTAATTGCATCTAAACTGGGTTTGCCAATCTCAGCAACACATACATTGGTTGGTGCAGTCATGGGGGTTGGCTTTGCTAGGGGACTCAACAGTGTTAGAGCAGAAACTGTGAGAGAGATAGTTCTTTCTTGGGCTGTGACCATTCCTGTTGGTGCTTTCCTTTCAGTTCTCTATACATGGATCTTGACCAAGCTTTTGGCGTATGTTTTATGACGCATGTATGTCGAGAATTTCAGATATGCCTCTTCAAACAATTTGTGTGTTTGGTTCATTCAATATATCTTCTTCCTTTCCCAAATGGGAATCGTTTGTTTATATACAGCATCAAGGAAGCAACTGGTGTGTTGCTTGTTTTCAGCCTCTTTTTCCTTCCTATTTGGGTCCTTGCAGAAGATGTCTGTAATACTGCAGACTGAACTAAGAGAAATGAATTTTGTGTTATTCTGGCAGTGTAACCATTCTTTCAATGTATCAAATAGGCCTACTCATTTCAAACACTTGATAACAAAATCAACGACATGGGGAATCAAACACCCGAGTGCATGGTAGGGGTAAACACCAGAAATGTAGAGTGCTCGTGCATAAACACTATTGTGAGATCCCACATCGGTTGGAGAGGGGAACGAAGCATTTTTTACAAGGGTGTGGAAACCTCTCCCTAGCTGACGTGTTTTAAAAATTTTGAGGGAAAACCTGAAAGGAAAAGTTCAAAGAGGACAATATCTGCTGTGGGCTTGGATTGTTACAACTATCATTTCACAAACTCATAAACAGTGATCTTCTCATCCAACATATTGTTTCCTTCAGCTGCTTAAAAGTTCTCTGTGTTGCTTAACTTCAGTTTCTCAGTGTTAGCAGAAGGAATGACAGACTGTGGCTGACAGAGTGACAGGAACATTGATATTCTTGATTGGTTTCACTGATATTCATGGTCACATGGAATGCTGAGCTTTCATCAATAAACGAACAGAAAGAGCATTTGATCGAACCCTTAAAAATTCATCTGAAGAACATGTTCTAGGAAACAATGGTCTAGCCACAAGCTCAACGTTTACCTTCCAATAGTATCTCTCTCCCAAATTCATGCCTGTGGGAAGGCAAAAAGCCATCCAGAACCAAGTTTAGCCTTGGCAGCTGGGGGAAGGCAAAAAGCCATCCAATCCGAAAGTAGTTTCTTCAAGTCCTCCGCTCTACTAAAGGAATTCACCAAATTTTACCTTGCAAGTTATGCTTGCACATCCTTGTGCTCGTGTCATACTCCCAAAGGCCTGAAAACATTTGACGTTCTAGTTTCTTTAGTCTTCCACTAATCCAGTTATTGTGGAGAACAAAACAGCCCTTCTTCCTGCAGGCTGTTTTGATATTTTTCTTTTTCCAAAGTTCTTGGTATGCACCGTTAGGGAAGAGGTTTCTATCCAAAAAATGAACAGTTAAATTCGTTTCAGGCTCCAAGCATTTAGTACTACCCTTTCGATTAGTACCTCCCTCCCCACAAAGGGTATCATAGAAGCTTGGCTGCTCCGATTGGCCCGAAGTTGCTGCATGCTTCACCACCTTCTCCATGGCAGCTATTGTTGATTCATCAGAACGAGCAAAATAGAACCCAGAGTTCAAGCGTCTAGGTAAGTTAATTGGTCCTGCATATACAATCAAACCAGAAAGTGAGATAAACAATTGGATAAACTGGAATATAAATATCTTCCATAAACGCCAAATAATAGTTTTAGTTAAGAATATCTCTGTGCATTCCAAGTTTCCTGTTCCCTTATTAAATTTAAACTGTTTTCAATATTGGTCGTGTACTTCAATAACATATGAAAACAGAGACTTTCATTTAAATGTTAGGAATTACGACTCTTCACAAGGGTATGATATTGTCCACTTTGAGCGTAAGCTCTCATAGCTTTGCTTTGGGCTTCCCCAAAAGGCCTCGTACCAATGGAGATGTATTCCTCCTTACTTATAAACTCATGATCATTCCCTAAATTAGCCAATGTGTAACTCCCTCCCAACAATCCTCAACATTAAACACATGCTAGGATAGGAATGAAACCTGTCTTCTTGTATTCATCAGATTGTGCAGCAAGAACACCAGAACCAAAACTGTAAAGAAAAGGCAGAGGGTTTTTAAACCAATATATATCAACGTCACTGAGAAGTACGTTGTAACCCAGCTTCAATATTCTTAAAACCATTCTGGACTTCACTTTTGTCACCCTCTGAAAGCACTCTGTTCCAAAGTGACAGTCATTGAAACTGATATTGGTTGGAGCCAATGGATCTCTATAGACAGGCAAGCCCTAGCATAAAAAAAAGATCTAATAAAAACCATAGCAGAGAAGACTAAAGCACACACAGAACAGAGAGCAAGAAGAACCTGCAAGGCTGAGAAATGATAGGTGTCAGAATCAAGGGCACAAACTAAATAATTTGGTATCTGTAGGTGGCGCAATCTGCAAACCCAGCTCATTAACATGTCCTTGTAACTATATCCAGCAACTGTCAGTACAATTGTCTTATTCTTGTCTGCAATTAGGGGAAGGAGAAACTCTAAGGAAAATGGAAGCTCTAAAGTTTCTGAAGATGATACCCCTTTTTCCAATGAGCAATCATGTAGTCTATCCAGTGATCGAAAGCCATGGTCACAAGCCGTAGGCTTCTTCTTCTTCTTCTTCCCAAAATGCAACAGCTGCGTGTTCCATAAACTAAGCATTCTCTGGTTCTTTGGCAGATATGTTGCATTTTCTGTTGTGTTGGTCAGAATATATTGCTCATTACATTTGAGAAGTTTCACCAGACTAGAATATGTAGCATCCGGATGAAATGAAGATCCATATAGTGAACCAAGAAGGTAGTTGCCTGAATATTCCCAGCGTCTTGCTTCATTATCAGATGGTTGCTCTGGATCTTGGAGATAGAAACTGCTGATGGTCCAACTAGCATCAAACACAAACCTGAATTCAGATGCCACAGCTTCATTGATGACCCAATTGTTATGGATCCCTCTTCCATACAGGAAAGGAGGAAGAACTCCACTGTGCAACGGAATGTCCTGGTTGTTCCATGCCAATAATTCCTTCCCTCCACAGTGACTCCATCGCCAATGCTCATCGAGCAACTCCTGGAACCAAAAGAAAGCAAGAAAAATAACGAGTTGCTCAGTTGTTGTCTCAATCCCAGAAAAAAGTCTGCAAGATGCTACTCAGTACCTTCTGTAATCTCGTCAATTTTTTATTCTCCGTTGGGAAATGTCTCTTGGACTCATCAAAGTAGAATGGTATGTACGAGATGTTTCGGGACGAAGCAACCAGCAGCCAATCACGGTCGAGTTTGTAAGCATAATTCAGAGTGGAAATAAAATCAGGAAGAAGAATAGTTTCGGGATGAACAAAGGCACAAATGTCTGATGCAAATGACTGAGATCTTGCCATCATTGAATGGAAATATGGGGTTCCAAGGAATCTAGACAAACAAGACAAAAAGAAAAATGATCAATATCATGTGCAGTTATCATGATGTATCATATTTCTTCACGAGGGCTAATGCAGTATCTCTTCTTCATGGTGATCAACATTTTAGTCTATGATAAGCTTCTCATCTGGATTTAGCCAAAGAAAGAGCAGATATTCAGATTTTTTTCAAGTCCTAATCCAGTAGATGCTTTTACACTTCATCAATGGAACTAACCAAACCAACAGGTTTTGATGACACCAAAATTCCCGAACAAACACCAATGAATACTGATATGAACAAAAGCAATCGACGAACTACATCAGAAATTTGTAAGCACTTAGAAATTCCTTACAACATAACAATTTTACTTACGTAAAATCAATGTCGCTATCAATATAAACCCGCGAACTGATAGAACGTGCATATGCGGCAACGGAAAGGTCTTGGCTGAACAGAACGACTGTAATTTGTGGGGACAGAGCAAGCCATGACCGAATAGCCAAGCTCTGTCGAACTCCAATATTACCAGAGAAAGAGCGAGGCGCAGAGAATATGGAAACCGAAGGATTACGTCGATCGCCGAAGACTCTGTAGCGAAGCTTGGGCTTCACAAAACGATCCTTGAAGGATGGCAAACTTTGAGTAGCGTATAACGAGAGAGCAATCAATACCAATCCGGAGAGCCAAATCGACCAAAGTCCCGCCTCAATCGCCTGTCGGAAAACAGAAACAAAACATCAACAGAAGAAGAAAGCAAGATTTAACAGAAGAAAAAATGGATGGAATCGAAAACGCCAAAGACCTTCATACTGCGCAATGTTCGTCACTGAAAATCGGCATGAACATGGAGAGGTAAAACTTATTGTATCTGAGAGCTAAGAGAGAGAGATTTTGTGAAACTTTAACCGAAAGAAATGCAATGCAAAAGTAACAAACGCACCAGTTCCATTGGCGCGCCATCAGAAACGGAGCACGCCACCGGCCATGTGAGGGCTGTCGTTTTCTGAAGCTAATAATACTTTAATGCCCACTGAGATTGCTTCGTTTATCCCTTCCCTTCTACCTATGAATATGAAATATGAAATCGAAATTCGAAAGCACCATTTTCTGCATTCCACCATTAATGAAGCTATGAACCATTTACGATTTCGACAGACAGAGAGAGTCGAGCTAGATTCGTTCATCTTTAAATCCCATGATTATTTTTTTAAAAAAAATATTTAATCCTCTCAATCAGATTGTTTATTTTTTTTAATTATTTTTAAAAAATCTTATAATATTTATAACATTAATAACTAAATTCGGTGAATTAACCCAACAAAAAAAAAAAAAAAATGTTGAATTTTTCAAAAATTCAAACTCAACCGAAGAATTAGATTATTTATATTTGTATAATATATTAATTATATTAAATACAATTAAAATATTCTTCGGGTAGGACTACATATAAATAACTTAACTCTCTTAAATTGAAACAAAAAAACAATTGAAAGCATCCAAGTTTACACCACAAGTTCAACGATTGCAAAGATAAAGGGTTTTGAGAGAGAGAGATAGTTGGAGGGGCTATTTAAGATTTAAGAACATCCCTTCAATGCAAACTCAAATACATGCACAAAAATTCAACCCTTGGAGTTATATTTCTTTTCCCATCATACAACACTATTGCTTCTCATTCCCAACCCTTTGAGAATCAAAACACCTTTCTGAGGTTCTCCATTCAAATCCACGCTCCTCATACATCAAAGGAAACTTAGCTAGAAGTAACTAATATCGCTATACTTAAAGCGTCAGCTCCTAGACCAGTATGTCGTGTCTATTGGTTTAAAACAGACAGCATCGATGGCTAACGTCCATGGCCTTCGGAGTATATCACAACCACCTAGTGAAGCCATTGAACAGACATTCATAACATTGCCACCTCTTCAAATTCAAAAAAGATCTGCAGCTTAGGCTCAGATTCAGGTACTGAAATCAAGATTATGAGTCTTCAAACAGGTATAAACAGTTCGAATTCTCTTAATCATTAGACAATCATCTGCGTCGTCTTGCAGGAGACCGAGACCTTGACCTCCTTGCCCTGTATGATATGTGTAGTTAGTCCTAAAGAACAATCAGTAACAAAGAATCTGAAGCATCCGTTGGAGCAGCTTACTGTTATGAGGATGAGTGTGCACATGTCCTGAGAACACATAACACAAACTTAATCTATGAGACATTGCGGCATACCTGGTGGTTTCAAGAGAAGAGAAGGGAGAATGCCTGCGCTGAGAGTGCTTGCTATGTGGTGACCGCGATACTTGTCTAGAAATGAAAGCATCCATTATACTGGTTTGGTGAGTTAAACTTGCAAAAGCCTATAACAGAGATGCTCAGCCTCGTGCATTGTCAAGAAACTTATACACCATAAAGGATAACCTCAATCTTTATGTGAAGGAGAAGAGCATGGATTGGGTAATCCACAAGAAAATATAAACTTGATAACAGGACAGTGACGATTCCCTAAAGATGTATTCTATTAACTGCTTGAATCATTAATATCCTCACTTTTGACCATCAAGATTAAAACCACCAAGTATAATCATGAAAGAACTTGGGAACAATATTCATTTTTTTAGTCCAACGATAAAAAGAAAATAAAATTACACAGACAAACCTCCATGGAATACCAAAGATGCAAAAGTGAATTAGAGGTTTAGGATTACCTTCTCCTAGATCTGATTGGAGATGGGGATTTGTCACGCTTCCTGGATTTCACCTTCCTGCAGAAAGGGGCTAGGAATGAAGTCCTATATAACTTTTTCAAAGGGGAAAGAGAATAGGAACATCCATAAGAAATACCTTTTAGAATCATCCGAGTCATCACTTGAATTGGTCGAATGATCGACGGCCTTGTCTTTATTTCTGTCTCTACTGCTCTTGTGCCTACTCAATTCACTTGAGATTTTCTGTCTCGTTCTGCCTTCGTCGTCTTTTGTGTACACCCTGTTTCTGTCGGTTCCATCTTTAGTGCTGGCCCTCATAAGCTTGTCTTCTCTCCTTTCCTCCTTTGAATTGTGATGTGTAGACCTATGTCTCGAGTCGGGATCCTTACCTTTCTCGCCAGACTTAACACCTTGGTCCTTCAATTTTTCCTTTTGAACAGTCTGATCATCTGCCTCTTCCTTCCTCGGGCGCCTGCCATCTTGCTTCAGACGATTCTCATCTGCTTTCTCATTTGTTCTAGTTTTTACCTCCCCTTCTTCCTTGACACGATCTTTCAATGAAGAACCCCTCATACTTTCCTGCTTACCACTATCAAGCGGTTTTATTTTAGTTTCCCCATCATGCGGATCTTTAGATACATTTTTACCATTCACATTCTTTCCTTGCTGTTCAGATACCATGCCTAAAACATCCCTTCTCCCAGAGGCAATTCCATCCCCAAACTTTGTCTCATTATCTTTACCTTTAGAGCTTGGCTTCAATGAATGTTCTTGACCCATTTCTCGATCCATCCAATCATCATTCAGCTTATTGAAGCCTGTGCTTTTACTCGTTTCATTGACAGAACTGGTTGAACCATCATTGATGTCACTTATTACATGATTTCCACTGTGCTCTATAACATTTCCTCGAGTGCTAGCATTTCCAACTGCATCTTGAATATCTCTCAAATTTCTTTTTGTACTGGATAGCTCAATATTGAACATTGTCTTGGAACCTTGCATATTTGAACTCTGAATTTCACCATCTCTATCATCATTTTTTTCATCATCAGAAGCATAATTTCCAAGACCAAGTACATCTCCAGGTGAGCTGGAACTCGACTTTTCACTAGTATCGTCATTATCAGGTTCCTGAACTTTGACTGGCAACAAAACCTTGGCAGAAGCTTTGGGAGTTGAGACTGGAAAGGGAGATGAAGAGACATTCTGATTTGAAGTAAGCTTGGCTGAATGGAACAGGAAAAATAGAATTGTGAGAAAGAGAGAGAGAGGAGAAAAGCAGGGAGTAAGAGCATCGATAGTTACCTTCAACAGCGAGATCATCTTCATCAAGAACTTTTGTAGCAATTTCATCAAACAGCTCATCAGTAACCTGTGTAGACATCATTTTAAACATGCATACACATAAGCATGGGAAGTATAGAGAAATTTCGAAGTAATTTCATAAGTCAGCTATGCTGCAGATTAAGTTCACTGACAATATAAACATGTTCTTCACACATTTATTGAGGAAAGGAAGGGCAGATACAGAATCCTCCCCTCATCAAATAGCAATAATCAAGTCATGAATGAAGAAACGAGATGCCATAGGTCGCAACTTCCTATGCTTAGATCAACAATATTAAGACATTTCTGAATCTGGCCAATTCGCATCCAAATTTATTCTGTTTCTTCCCAACCAATGACTTAGAACAGCAGTTACTGTACGGGATCAAAAAGTCCTCCCTTCTTTAGTAACAATTCCCTCAATAAAATCCCAACTTAACTACGAGATGACAATCCAACATGGATCAACTTCAAAAAGTAATTTTAGCTTCCTTACAAATAAGCAAAATATATAAATGAATTAAAAAATCTGTGCAACAGAACATAGAAATGAATATATGTGTGTGTGTGGATGTTCCAACCCCTATTGCAAATGTCAAAACCCAAAACTAATTTTCAAAGAAATAATTGATTTCCAGAATGGCTTTCTAAGTTGAAAAGTTCCTTCTAAATCAACAAAAAGAATAGGGAAACAAAGTACTAATTCAGAGTTTAAGATTGTATGAAACCAGAATATGTAAGGAAATGAAATTCAAGAATGGTTATCAAGTTTTAAAAACATGTAGGTCAGATTTAGCAACAAAACCTTTAAGAGTACTTCGGTCAGCACACGCTTGATTTCTTGATTTGTTGCTGCAGTTCTTGCTCCTTCTACAACATCCTGCATGGCACAAAAGATGAACTCCATAACCAAAAGAGAACATAGAGGAAGTCTCATCTGGATAAACCAGAAAAGTATTGATTCTAAGCCCCCATCCACAAGATAGTGCATGGAAGAACATGAATATTATCTTGAAAAGAATATATTATAGAGAACCTCATCATCTTCTTCTTCAGTCGACCTAGATGAATCAATACTTTTACTATCAGCTTGATCACCCTTTGCATAAGACTTGTCAACTCCTTGATCTTCCATGAGAACAGCATCCTCCTTAGGATGGTCAGCAGAAGAACTAGTGATCACTGCTTTCTTGATTTCCTCTCTGAGCCAATTTGGCACAGAAGCCTAAAATTACAGGATCAGTTTAACTAGCTGTTTATCATATTTCCAATATCAGTTGTTGTCGTTGTTTACCTTTTTTGGACGTTCAGACATAGTTGACATGCCATATGCATCACCAGATAAAAGTGTGGCAGGAAGTGCAGCACCAGGAAATGGAGCAGCGGCAGCAGGAATTGCAGGGGTGATGCCAGAACCAGCAAACCTTCCAAATGGGGGCGGTGTGTGTCCAGGAACAGAAGAAGGTACAGCTACAGGAGGATCAAGCTGAAAATTTATAACAATTTTCAGGAATTTATCTTGATGACCTAGAACAAAAAGAACTTTAAAAAAAATTCAGAACCTGTGCTCCAGAAGCCAAGGCAGGAGGAATTGGTGGATAAATCATGCCAGGAGAAATAGAAGACCATGAATTTAAAGACGGCATTGGGACGCCTGAATCATTGCCTCTAGTGGATCCGGCTGAATCATTGCGAGGAAAGCCAGAATGCATTCTTAGACCACGATCGTGACTGAACCTAGGAGCAAAATCTAAAGGCTGATCTGCAAGATTGGTCATGGGACCAATTGGCCCTGGCTCATTGCTATATGCATAGGGTGGAGGAATAGGTGATTGGAAATGCTGCTGTCCACCATGAACTGATGAATTTTGCATAGGTAGTGATTTGAAAGACTGTATATTTTGATCTACAGTATCTTCTTTACCTGCCATTAGGTGTTTAAGGTAAAATTGAACTATTAAGAGAAACAACAGTAGCATCAAGAAATAAGGAGCCGTAAGTCTAAGTGAATAGGACTCCTAGTATTTAAAAAGTAGTAACAAATCTCTGCTCCAAACAAGCTTTTGCTCGGGAGGATTTGAATGTTTGTGCAAGTGTACAATTGGCGACTTAACTCTGAACATGATTATGATCCTGAAAAAGTTGATCACATTCTTGATTGTGGTAAAAGCTGAATATGAGACGCAACTTTCACCTAAAATTATTTGTCGAACACTTACAAAAAAAAAAAAAAAACTATTAGCACATCTAGGTGCTTCATTCAAATACCAGCTTTTCTAAGTCTTGGAATCTAGACAGAACACTGATAATGAAGTATGAAGAAGAGGGATCATTCTACCATTTCTTTTCACTTTATGCGAGCGCATGCCCTGGGGTGGGGAAGGGGGAGGGGGGAAGGTTCTTTCATCCTATATTCCCAAGCAGGAACTTGTTAACCTTTCGTGATTGTAACCTCCATCAGTCTATAAAATAGGGAATTAAACTATAAGAGAAGCAACGAGGCACAACTTAACAACAGCAATCCAGCTTCTCTTGAGCACTCAAAGAGCTCCCCAACCAACCAATTATATATAAAAATACATTGACAAGCCGGTAGCAATTATCTGTTATAATAATAATGATAAAAGCATTAACAACAATAATACCATAATAATAATAAAATTCATAGTGATAGATGCCCACAGAGAATCAATTGTGGTTCAATGACAAGACGGATATAAACGTTGAATATAATAACAATTAATGGAACAAAAAGAACATCAATTTTAATACTAAATGAGTTTCAAAGTAGGATTCTTCAACAATAACTACACTCATACACAAGTGAATCATTACCTGTAACAGAATAGTTACTAGAAGGTACCTCCTGCTGATGAACCGATGGACTTGAAGATAATTTCCCTTGGTGATGTAAAACAGAGCTCATGTTGCCTCGATAACTACCATCAGTGACAGAGTAAGTTAGACGCCCATCTGAAAAATAAGAAGATTGTTCACTGCTAATAGTAACAGGTATGGACTCCAAGTGATGAGCTGCTGATGGCCGGGAAACAGTTGTTGCTGAAGCTGTATACTGTTCATAGGTTGTAGGAGGAGGTTGATGAGACATATCTGGATGATTTGAATTAATTGGTTGTGAGTACTGATCCTGATAATAGTTATGTTCTTCAAGTCTCCCTGTAGGTGCAAACTGAGATTGCTGACTGTCCATTGCAGTCTTCGCATCCGCCCACGCCCTAGCTCTGGCCGCCCAATCTTCTTCATTGCCTTGGGCTGCCATTAAAATATTTAAAAGAAGGTGCACAGAAGCAGTAAACTGAAGGGGCACAAAGATTTTAAAGGACCAAAAAGAAATCCTAAAATTTGCATCACAGTGAAAAAAGGATCATAATAGAAAGAGACCGACAACACAATAACACAACACAAAAAGTGTAAGTGGAGAAATTGTTTCTCGTAATGATGCAATACGGATAAACCAAGCAACCCATCGACAATAAGCAAATCGTTATTATAAGCATTTCATACAGAACGTTATTTTGCATTTCATGTATAAGAACAGCAAGAATGGCATCTATACTTTGTAAAATGACAGGTAAACTCTTGCAAACTAAAGAAAGTTCAGGTAGAATCAAACAAAAAGAATTCATGAGGAAATTAAGCAACAAACCTCGATATTCCCAACCTTGATGCGGAGCCCAATTCGGGTTGTTCCATTCCTACAACGATCAATATATGGTAAAGACATGGCATATGGACGAATATAACATATAGAAAGTACATTGACGATCCTCACAAGTTATGAAAATGTTAGAAAATAGATAAAGAAACCTAAATGAATTCACTCCCACTGCAAGAACCATCAGAACAATGACAAATATCCTAAACCAGCTGATGCATTAAATTCCGACAGGTCAAGAAAGTAGACAGGGAACAAGAAGTTCCATAGATAACAAAAATTTAACCGAAAGATGACGAAATTCGCCTGAATCACCTGCGAATGAGGAGGGAGTTGCTGAAACATAGGAGGACGAGGAGGAGGAAACTGGTTGTGGTGCATAGGCTGCGAAGGATAAGGATGAGGAGGTGGAGGATAAGCACCGGGAGGAGGAGGAGGAGGAGGAGGAGCATGTTCGGAATGAGGCGCCGGCGGTCCCCACTGCGACGGAGGCGGATGAGGAGAAGGTGACGCAGAATGCGAAGGGTGGTATTGAAATTGGTTGTGGAACCATGGACCCTGCGGAGGAACTGGTGGCCTCAACGACGATTGGTGGTGGTGGTGGTAGTAGGGATCGGCAGCGGAGGGAGGCGGCGGAGGTGGCGGAGCCCCCGGGAAATGGTGAGTCTGATGGTAAGAATCCATATCTCTGTGGATTAATGGCGGGTTGTTCTTCAGATATGGTGATTCAGTGGAAGAATACGGCGGGGTCAGGGTTCAAGCTCCGAATTCCGGCATTGTTACTACGCCCTGCGGCTGCGGGGAAAGAAAGGGGAATTTTGTGAGGGAAGAAGTCCAGTATGAATTGCAACCATTACGTCGCCGTTTCCTTGCCGTCGGTAGTGGCTAACCACGTCGGCTTCGATTTTCCTTCTTCCAAAAACTGGGCCTAACCTTCAAAAGCCCATAATAATACGTTTTCTCCTGAACTTACTGAATTTAAGCATCATTTTTTTTTCTTTTCCTCGTGTAATAATTTTATTATTATTGATTGTTATTAGAGATATTCATTTATTCGCGGGTCATACGATAGTCTTGAATAGATTGAGAAATCCTTGTTTAGAGAATGAATGCGAAGAAATTTCTCTTCATTACATTAATGAGAATGAGTATTATATTCTCGGTATCCATCACCTTCCTGTTCTATCTCGTTTTTGTCTTTTAATATATATAAATAAATAAATTTATTTATTTATTTTTTATTACCATTTATAATAAATATATTTTTTTTAATTTTTGGTTTATTTTACTATTATATTTTCATGATGTTATAATAAATAAATTATGCATTGAACCATTTTATAAAAACATGGTAAACAATTTTTTTTACAAGAACCCGATCCCTGCACATTTCTCGTGGAGTATCCTAGCAAAAATAAATGAAAATTTTCGGGACATGAAGACTTCCTTGTTTCCGTCTCATGAACATCCCTAATGAACATCTCTAATGATGGTAATGTTATTAATGATAGCTACATAGTGATTTGACCACAATTTTGATACAAACTTGAAGCTTCTGACGGTGATGAATGCATTAACTATAGATATGATGTCAAAAATAGACCAAATTTATATCATCGATAAAGTTAAAAATGACCCTTCCATTCCATCTTGTAACGATTAGCTAGATAAAAGAACCTTATTCAAATGGATAATCAAATATTTATTCCAAACTTAAAAGAAGTTTGAATTGTATATGTTAAATTTCTAAGAAAAAAACATAGCATAAGATGAAAATTTAAAGCTTCAACCTCGTGAAGATAGTGAAGATGGGTAAAGCTGTAAACATTAATAACTCTCTTATAGTTGAAACTTTACCCATCTTGACTATCTTCATGATGGGTAAAGTTTAAAGAGTTATTAATGCTTACAACACTGAATCATAATGAAATGGACACTTAACTTGATATAAGATAGAATTACTCCAACCTAACCAAACATGAAGCTATTGCATTCATCTTCATAGATTAATTGGACACCAATAAGCACTACAAAACTGTACAAAAGAAAAGATGATAGAAGCATATAGAAACTAGGATTCTAGCTTAAAACATTGAATTTTTCATACAAATGGAATGTTACATGGCCTTTTGAATTGCTATAATTTCTTAGGTATACAACTTTTTTTTACCTTTTCCAAATGTGTCCCAAGAATTCTGAGTGGGTTAGCAGTTGAAATTTTGCTTCACCCCTGCAAGAGTTAAATAGGAAATAAATTGGCATCCTCATGCCACTGCATCAGCCTGTTTTCTAGTCAATCTTGCATATAACCCATCCTTTACGAGAAGCTCATTGTGCGTGCCCATCTGTGATATAATAATCGACCAAAAAAGTTCATCAATAAGACAATTTACTCGATAACTTAGGCCCTATTTGATAGTCATTTTATCTTTTGTTTTCTAGTTTTAAAACTTTAAGCTTATAAATACTACTTCCACATACATTTTTTGTGATTGTTTCAAAAACCAAATCAAATTTGAAAACTAATACAAGTAGTTTCTAAAAACTTCATTTTGTTTTTCAAAATTTAGCTTAGAGTGCAAATGTAAAGTTTGTTAGATGAACACGACTCTCCACAAAGGTAAGATTTTGTCCACTTTGAGCATAAACTCTCATGACTTTGCTTTGGGCTTCTCCAAAAGGCCTCACACCACACCAATGGAGAGAGTATGCTTTGATTATAAACCCATGAACATTCCCTAAATTAGCCGATGTGGGACTTTCATCATCCAACAAAGCTTATTAAGAATTGGGTGGAAGTAAGCATAATTGCCAAAACATAGAGAACCTAAGAACAAAATGGTTATAGAAAGGGACTTCAAAGATTCTAAGGTTAATGTAGATGTGTTTGAGCAATAGGTTGGTTAAATAAAAGAAAAGAATCAGGTTATCATGGGTTTATCGATCTCTTAAGTGGGATAATGGGTGGTTGGTTGGCTTCAGTTTTCAAAAGAAAATGAACATAGTAGAAAAGTAAGCAAGCTAGAATTTCCATGAATACTGTAAAAAGCTTAAACTTAATAGAGAGCAGAATAACCTCTACTATCTGACCGCCATCCATAACCACTATCCTGTCAGCAGCTTGAATAGTTGAAAGCCTGTAAAAGTGCAAAGGTCGAACTATCAACACACAAGAAACATATACAATGGAGGCCATATTAGAGAGCTTACCTGTGCGCAATAATTAAGACGGTTCTTTTCATCTTCAAGTCATTTCTTACCGCACGAAGAACACCCTGAATAACATCACAAGCAACATGTAAGCAATCGCTCGTGCTTCTCTTGTTCCATATGCATGTGTTCAATGACATGTTTAGAATGACTTTTTAAGTGCTTAAAAATATTTTTTTAATAGTTCAAAACGTTTTCTAAGCACTTAAAAAATCATTCCAAGTTGGCTTTAAAAGTTATAAGAGAAAGAAGAAAAAATGCTGAGAAGATTCTCGAGAGGTGGGGAAACTTATAAACTTTGCATGGCTATCAGGTGATGGTAGCAGTAAATTAAGCAAGCAACAAAAGGAAGAAGGGCACGTGTAGCCAAATGAAAGGAAATGAGAAAATTAACAGACTAAAGGGAAATAATACTATGGATAGCATGTATTTTAACAGTGTGGGTGACTGTTTTTACAAACCATTAGAATCCTGTTATATATTCCTGCCTGTTTCACCTGATTGTGAGCTTAGCACACATTTTCACCTTAATTTTACACGCACAGTTGAACAATCGTTCCTTTTTCCATGAATATATAGTAATATAGTCAGCACTCGAGCCTATATGTGAAATCTTTCAACCTCAATTTGATTATCTAAGTCTTTTCCATCTATTTCTTTCCATTTTTGTTTCCTTTTGGGAGGGGGAAGGCCGACATCAAGAGCTTTGTCAAAGTATTTACCTTAACATTGTGTTCACTCTCAGCATCCAATGCGCTAGTGGCCTCATCAAGAATCAAAAGAGCTGGATCCCTAAGAATAGCTCGTGCAATGGCTATCCGCTGCTTTTGTCCCCCACTAAGCAAATCATCATCAACAAGCGTTTGATAACCATTGGGCAGCGATAGGATGAAGTCATGAGCATAAGCCTGCTTGGCTGCCCATTCCACATCCTCCTGTCCCACGTCTCTGTGACATCCATACTTAATGTTTGAACTAACATCCATGCGGAAAAGTTTAGGTTCCTGTTCAAAACTATCGCATCAGAAGGGAAATATGAAACAACACTGAACTTTAAATCAAATTGGAAGTAGTTAACGGACCTGCCCTACATATCCGATCCTTTCTCTCCACCATACAATGTCCAATTCTTTAAGAGGGTAACCGTCAATTAAAACCTGAAAATAGGAAATATTATCCAAAATGAGAGAAGACATAAGAGCATGCAAAATATTCTTTGCACTATTTCCACAAACATAGATAAGTTTTGTGGATTCCAATTCATGAGTGCACACATTAATAGTATGACAAATAAGAAGAGAGGAGCAGGAGGCGGATCATGGAACCCTACGCTTATCATCATTCGGATAACTCATAGCAATAACTCTTGCAGGTGATGTATACTTTGGCCATTGGATAACTACCTTTTTCTTTGATCCATTAACTAAAATATTTTATTCTAAACCCACACACATTGCTTCAAGAAAAAACAAATCACAGTCGCATTTTTATATTCACTAAGCTAAGCACATTACCTGCCCATTCGTTGGCTCATAAAGTCGGAGTAAAAGGTTTACCAGCGTGCTTTTACCACTGCCACTAAGACCAACCTTGCAAAAAAGAAAGCATCAACTTATTGGTCACTGCAGAACCATAACCAGACATGTAAATAGCGAGAAAATACTTACTATTGCTACAACTTCATTGGGATGCACTGAAAGGTTTACATGTTGCAGTACAGAGACCTATTGAAGTATTTGAATCAACAATCATCTCGAGAATAGGCAAGAAAAGCATCCAAAAGTTGAATGATAACAATATTACAATAATAATGATAATCATCATCGTAATAATGTGACGCAGCCAGCTCAGCAAAATAAATTAATAAGAATTCATCATCACAAGATGTGAAAGCTTATCATCTGAATTTTACCTAGCACGAAATTTTAAGCAAGCAGCTTGATATTGCAATGCAGAGTAACTCTCAATAAGTCTCTTGCGGAAAGGAGAAAGATAATAAACTAGTAGATATAATGCTGCTTCAAGGCCTAATTAGTCAAATAATATCTTCCAGTTTAGGCTAACCTATAATGGCGCGCTCCTCATACTGCTAGAAATATGAACTTGGTAAAATGTCAACATAGTCAATTCTAGGTATATATATTGAGTTGACATTCAGCGTTATGGCTTTAAGCATTATAAAGTTAGCCATAACAACACTTACGAAGCCCAAACAATCTTAAAAAAAGAATCTTTGTGAGCAACTACATGAGACTATGAATTCTGTTGATATTACCCTTCACTTGCCGATGAAAACAGACATTATCATTGATCTTAGCCAAAAGGCTGAGAAAGGTATATGGTGATATTATTCTCACACATGGAATACAAGTTATCACCCGATTTCGTGGGCAATGTAGGGTGAAGGATACACTACAAATAAGAAATACAATGCAAGCAATCCTATTTTTAAGACTTCAGAAATGAGCAAAATTATTGCACATTCTGCCGTAGATCATTGTAGGTACTACATAAAAAAACCAGAGTGTTGAAAGAAGTAGTGAGTAGATCTTACAACTAAAAAGAAATTTACCGTTGGCCGTGAGGGATAACGGAAAGAGACATCCAAAAACTCGAAGCGTCCTGTCAGTTTCTGCAACTTTATTCCTGCAAGTGTTTATCATGTCAATAAAAATTCAACATAAGATTTCATGCACCTGA